GACGTTTCGACAACCTTAGCGGTAGTCATCTTCAGAGTCAAACAGAGTCATTTTGACTTCAGAGTCTTCAGAGTCATTTTGGATCTGAAGATGACTACCGCTAAGGTTGTTGAAAGGTCAGTCAGCAACAACAAAAACAGTCCTTCTCGGGACTATACCAACCTGGACAATCGACATTTACAAGCATGTAACGATACTCCCGGGTTCAAACCATTTACTTTAAAAATAACATGGCTGATAAGCTAGTTATCTAGGCATAAATATTTCAATATTCTTTCCCGAAATTTTTCGTATCACCTAAATAAGTGAGCAACTTTTAGGTAATCATAGTCTCACTACAACAAACTAAGAGGTAAGTTAGTGAGTGGATAGTGAACTTACTGCTCAGTTTCGTTGACTAAGCAACAAAAATTTAGGTAAGATAAGAATTGAATGCAAAAAAATCATATTGAACACGTTTTATATAATACCTTCGCTAGTCAACTGTGAAAAGGACGTAAAAGTTCAACAAATTTCAGGTTATTTTTTTGGCAAACAAGCTCGGCATCTTCCGTGCACAACACGGCTATCACAGGACTGTACGCTCCTTGAATAAACTCATATGAGGTTTGCGAGCACCGTGCCATAATTTCTACGCTCTCATTCAAGTTCTTTTATGTTTGAATGCTGTTTTATTTTATCACAGTTCCCCATCCTCTTCTAACTATTGGGAAAATTAAAAAATACGAGCTTCGGCAACCATTATTTTCTTCGTTCCAGTCCTCCAAAGTCCAAAATGTCAAACCGTCGTCGTGTCAATTTGCTTATTCACCTTGACGTTCAATTAGCATTTGGCAATTCTTTATTAAGATGTTTTCATAGAGATACCAGGCCAGCAAAAACGTAAAGTCTGAGTTGCTGAATGCGTAAAGTTTGAGCTGAGTTGAAGCTAACACCAATGCAATAATCAAACAGTGAATATTCTGAAGAGAGGACATTAAAACAATGGCTTTCACTATCACACCACATAACCGGAAAACCCACTATCCTGAGAGATGTGAAGATAGCCAAAAAAAGCAGAGCAAGTGGAAATGAAAGTTTCATGTACTTTTCCTTTTTACTAACGAAATATGATTAACAACTATTGTATTTAGAATCCATACATTTACAACAAAAAATATTAAACTAGCTGTCCACACCAACAGCAGAGTATTGTAGCCACGAAATTCAAAAAGATAAGCTGCAAGCAGCCAAAAGGCCTAAAAAACAAATGAAGCAAAAGTTAGTAAAAGTGCCCTCTGAATTGATCAACTGTTTGAAGCTATGAATATGAGAAATGCTTATTGCATCCATTAGCAAAGCCAGTCGCTTTTTCTCTCCAAATATTTTTGTTCGTAATGGAAAAACAATAAATAGAATTGATTTTTTAAGGAAATGAATAATAGTTTTGATGAAAAATTTGCATTGTAGAAGTAAAAGATCGAGCTTGCTTTACAACTGATCACATCATTCATAACAAAATTTGTAGATCTAAATGATTACGTATTTGTAGATGACATTTTTAAAAATTACCTGACTTAATGCCCAACTTGATAACATCATTATATACTTCCAGTTTTTTATTTTTACGTGAGGCAGCGCTAGTGGAAATAAGGATAAATACCAAAGGAAGTACTGAAATAAAAAATTGATTTTATCTATGAAAGTATAGGATCTGTTGTGAGATCAAATTAAATTCTCAAATGCTGTCATACAAATATACCTGTGATGTACAAACTTTGTTAAAACTGACAAAGGCAAATGTCTGCAGAAAGCAACAAAATGGTAGATCTTTGTAATACTTGATGCCGAAAACAAAGACAAGAAGGAATTGAGGAAGAAATGCAAGTAAGCTAATAAGCCACGAGAATGGGCTATCCATGGTCAAATATAGCATGTAAAAATAAACTGAGAAATTATGTTTTACATCCTTTCTTGTCAAATGGTAAATGTATGTATGCTCAAGGAACTCGTATCCATATCTAGAAACACAGAATATGATAAGTTAAACTAACCAGTAAGGTGAGTCAATTATCATTTCACCAACTTACATGAAGTACATATGTCCAGTCATTACGAAAAATACAGATGAAGAAATCAGTCCATATTTCAACTGATGTGGATGAATGACATACGAAATCATATAGGAAAACCAACCACCATTCCCTCTCTGACGTCTAGTTTTTTCCTTTCCTCTTGCGTACCATCCAACTGTTAAATATAGTGGTAATGCATATATTATTGGGTAGATTTTAAAATGAACAGAAATTCCAAAGAATATAGCAGAAACATTTGACCGCTCTTTGAGTACAAAATAAAAAGTGGCAAGAACGAGGAGAGCCAAAAGTGACTCAGCATTGCCTCTAGTTGATACTGTTATTGTTAATGGATTAAAGAACCACAACCAAGAGTATTCAACAGCCCTAAATTCAGCGTTTCCTTGACTTTTCAGAATTAAAACGATAAGGTATCCAGCAAGAATATCACAAACCACAAAAACAAGTTTTCCAAAAGCTTTATGAATCGTTATATTTGACACGAGTATCCAGGCTAGCAGTGGAGTGTAGCGATAAGTTGCCCTGGCATAGGGAGAATTTCCCATAGTAACATGTCTAGCAGCATCAGTGAACACCTCATAATCAATGTCTGTATACTTTACGACCATGGTTGCATCCTGCCATTCACCGTAAAACATGAATAAAATCCTCAAGAGGAAAGAAACAATACATGTAGTTTTCAAATCCAAACATATTATAGCCATGTTTATATGACAGATAATGAAAAGGAACGTGTTTGTTTGCGGGCTCAAGTAAGATCTCGCATGAGAGGAACCCCAAGATGGCGCAGGAAAGAAAGGAAAGAAAAAGCTTTCAAAGAATCTTTTAAAATGAAGGTGATACAAGGATCCGTGTAGTTAAATGCACGAATGCCTTTGGTCATTATCTTACTGTACTAACATATTTCTAGTTCATGCAACGAACGGAAGAAGCAAAATTACGTCAAAAGTTAGAAGAAGAAGAGAAACGAGAGATCGATGAAACACACTGGGTACTTGATAACGAAGAAAGCGCTAAGGATGTGTAAGACGTTGATGTGAAAAGGATTTATTGTATTGTGTGCAAATTTCGTGCAGATTGCTTACTTGTTTAAACAATGTTAATGTTTTGCATTCAACTGACTTTAGGAATGTTTGGGAATACGAGCCAAGCTTTGTTGTTTGCGAAAACCTTCTTCCAACTGGAAGAATGTCATTTAAGAAATTCAATCCCACCATTGAAGTAAGAAATCGTACAAGCCTCTGAAAGTAATTTGCTTATCACTGCTAAGTGATTGATTGGGAATAGCATTTCAACTTATGGCGTTTTTAATTAAACATTTTAGAAGTTATTTAAAGAAATAGTTACTCAAAAGGAACTAGCTGAATGTGAAGATCGCGAAAGGGAGGAATGTGTTACAGATGAGCAAATGGTCGAAAGGTTTGTTTCCAGTGCACATAAAGTCACGTTTCTTTTAAAACCTGATTCTTTTTTGATCCTTAAATTATTTCAGGTTTAATTCCTTGATTGACACAGTTGACAAGAAATTTAGTGCCAAGAGGAAGCGTCAAAATGTTGCACATGAGGAGAACACTTTTTATACGGAACAAGCCAGACGATCTAAGAAACAAAAGATGAAATTTAAGAAACCAAAAGAAGATTGATCATATAACATTTTATGCAATTCACGAGTGACCAGAATTCTCGTACATTGTGGAAGTTTACGATAAAGTACTGAATGAATTGATCAACTTCCTTTGTAAATAGACAAAACATTTTATTATAAGTAAACTTGTGAAGAGAGTAACTATCTTTTCGTTATGAATGATTTTTTTACAATTTTTCGACAGTTTTGTACAAAAAACTCTTTAAGGTCGCTGACTGCATAATAAAATTCCTTTTTAAAATTTTTTGCTTCTGCGATGAGAAAATCCGAATGCCATCTTGAAGAGAGTGACCTTTCATTAACTCTTCGATTAACAATTATCAATGCTAATTTACTGATCGCACAAATTTCATGACGTCACACAAGCGTTTTTCAAATTACGTCATAAGCAGTTGCGAGGGCTAATGAAATGACCCACACCTAACGTTCTTACTGTTCTGATGGAGGATAAATTGGAAGAACTGGTCGATCTCGTTTCCAGTTTAGGCCAAAGATTAACGACAGTCGAGGCGAAGGTGTCAAAGCTAGGCAGCTTGCATGAACAAGGTTTGGAGTTCATGATAGTTCATAATAGTATTTCACAGTAGTAAATCTTGCCTTCCGCCACAATGGGTGATCAACTCTTCATCGGTTCATTACTGATGTGGGGAATTTGATAAACATTAAGTTTAACGTCGAATTATCCCACTTTTCGTTTCAAGGTAAATCAAGGCTAGCGGAAATCCAAGAGTTCTCTGAAAATATCGTTACGTTACAGGAACGTAAGCTTGCCGAAATGGACTCCAACATGAAAGAACAGAAAAAGCTTGTTTCAGAAATGCGCACCAGCTTACAAAGCCTTCAAAACTCCCGTATCAATCATAAGGAAGTTTTGGTGAGGCATGAAAATCAGACGAAAAAACTCGTTGAACTTGTAAACAGTATAAGCGAGACTCAAACGAACAAGAAATGGAACGGACACAAATAAGGGATACCGCAGCCAAACGCTTCAGTACATTTGAGCCTAGGGGTCGTCGGACACAACACGAAGAACTGTATTTCCTAGAGCAAGGCCGTATGCCTGGTGGCTCGAGGAGCAGCAGTAGACGTCGTCATACCAGGGCACATACATCTGGGTCAAGCCGAGAGTGGGCTATGTCTGATGATAAATCACGAAGAAAATCCACCTTTCATTAAATTAAATGTCCCAACAAAGCACTTATTTGATACATTTGATTGACACGCTGTGTGTCAATGAAGAACACAACCCTCTATAATGAATAGAACATAATCAATACTGGTGCAGTTGTATACCAACTTATAATTGAAAATGTATAATTTTGTAATGTGCATAATAGAAAATCTCATGTTTATCAATCATATTTACCAAATCTTCACTTAAACAATGAAGTGAAATAAAATATCAAAACAGTCTTCAAGAGGATAGTTTATCATTATCTTCATTCAACTCATGGATGGCAACAATAGGACGAGACTGTGCTCTTCTGTGTCCATGTTTGCCAGCATGACCATTAGGAATATGACCATTACTTACAACATTTCCACCATTGACAATTGATTCTTTTTGTAATGGTAAATCTAAATAATTTGGTATAGATGTGACAACTTCGCTTCTATCTAACATCATCTCAACTTCACTCTCGCGGCAAGCTTTGTTCAAATACTTTCTTGCTTTTCTAATCACATAAACAGATAATCCTATGGTAACAATAACTTGTAGAACCAAAATGACATAGTTGCCGGAATGTTCACTGATCACATCTTCTACTGAACGCAATGTGCTTCCCATGTATGTATTCATGGCTTGAGTGGGAAGCAAGCCAACTAACGAAGCTGATAAACATTTAGTCAAGCTAATATTTGTAATCTAGAAAATGAAAAACAAATTACGATTAAAAAATATTTAATGATTTTTGACAATAGCCAAGTTTAATAGACAAAATACAACAGGCACATCTAGCTAACACAATAGCCCAGCAGGTAGGGTTTCTCTGCCTCATGTAAACGTTTGCCAATTTTTGACTGGCTTTGGCTCTAGGAAAACCCTTTAGCTCGGGTTACCCAATTTCCATGTTAAGAAGCCCTAAGTAATTGGATATCTCATTTAACATAGAATGACCTTGGTTAGGGTAAAGCACAAGGATATCAAATTCCAAAGTGAGCTTTGTTGACTTAAACAACATACGATAAACAAGATAGTTTTAAGTTTGAGTCATTTCAAATTTCATATTTATCACGAGTACATTATTTTATCGACATACAGCATGATTTTGCAAAAAACTGAATCATAATTCTCAAGTGGGAGAGGACAAATATAATCAGTGCCAAAACACACAAAATAAATAAGAGCTGTAGGTTTGACCACCAAATATAATACTCAATATGATCAACAGACTATTTTAAAAAAATCTTTTATTGAAATAAATGAGTCTAATTGAAACAAGAAATTTTACCGAAGCTAAGCACTTACCGCAAAAGTCCATTTTGCAATCCAAAGGTAAAGGAGTAAGTCTTGAGAGTGCAATAACACGAAAACCTTTCTTGCCTTCGACAACTCTCACAACAGCTAATAAATTTTCAGAGTCTAAACGCTTTCGGACAAAATCTCTAAGACAAAGTCGACAGACTTGAAATGATACCAATATTCCTATGAACACAGACGAAATTACAACAGCTAGACCTATACAAAATCCATAAAGGTAACCAGCAGCTACGTTAAGTACAATGTAACCCCATGCCATTGGAAATGATACTATAGTGAACATAACAATAAATAGTAGAGCTCCTTGCCATTTCTGCAGGTTTTCAACCCATTCAATGATGTCTTTTAAATGATCACGACAGAATATCACTAAAACTGCTACCAAAATTAATAAGAAAATGAATGATCCTGAGACATGAATGCATCGACTTTCCTGTAGACATGAGCATCGCTTCACACCACCAATGACCTGATCAAACTTTGTAGTTTCACCCAAACATTTCTGTGCCTGGGATTGAATATGCTCTGTGCACTTGTGACCCATTTTCATGGGCACTTTGGGTGTCTTCGAGCTTCTTGAAAAAATTTGTCGCTACCTTTTTAAATCATATCTGGCTAACATAAACATTTTCCTAACAAGTTAAAATTAACGTGAAATCTCCAGTGTTAAAGAAGTCTTTACGATAAAAGATAGGTTTAACCTTGGTCGAAATAAAAGAAACGAACTTTTACGGTCTTCTCAATTTTATGATGTGATGGGATTAAAAGAGACAATCTACGGAACGGCACGCTTTATGGCCACCACCTCCTCCCCCCCGGAAAATATGATATTCAGTATATATTCTGACGCATATTGTTATATTTTGCATGGCACGCCCATAACTAGATGCCTTGAATATTTGATCAAAAAAGCCGAAATATTATATTGTGTTACATGACAACAAAAATATATTGAAAGGCATTTGAGAAACCATGCATAATACTATTCATTGAACAGATGAAAAAATACCAGAATTTTTTGTCGTAAAAATGTCGGGTTAGACCAGCCGTCTTTTTTTAAGCTGTCATTTGGTGATGAACTTCATCCTGTTTTGTGTTCTACTTTCATCCACTGTAGGTAAGGGAAAGAGTTTGTACGATTTTATCTTGTCATTCAGATCTTTTTCAATGATACTTTATTACTAGTAAGACTTCAGAATGCTGCAATGTTATAATACATATTGCTACGTCATGTGTTGCAATTTTAGGATTAGATGCATTCACATTACACGAAATGTTTGCAACGAGATACAGTAGGACGGTGATGGGTAAAATGCTACACGAAAATCTTAAAGCCATAAATAGTGATCCTATTGATATAACTCAGGTAAAACAAATGTATGAATTATGTATTAATAAAAATAACTATTAATAATATGTTTTAAATAATTTTTCTCCTCAGTGGTATGCTGTCAATATGTCTCTGTTCAATCAAGATGTGCTTGAGAAGTTTATTCAATTTGACGTTGATGAAGAGTCTCAAGAGTTTTTAGAAAATTGTAATGATAAAACAAATTATGTGTTTACTCAAATGGCACACACTGTTATTAAAAATGTTCTGCGCTTTTTCATATCTGTTACAACAATTAATGGGTGAGTATAATTCTCATATCCCGGACAGAAACTTGTTTTCAGACAGTGTTTCACTCCATTTGTTTTTATTCTAATAGAATTCTGAACAGAGGCTCAATGTTTGTATTCTCTAATGCCCAGTTTCGAAAGCTGATGAACATCCCTGAAGGATGGAAAGCAACATCATTACTTGACCTTGGTGCAGGTGATGGCAAGGTTACAAAAATGATGGCAAATCATTTTGAAAAGATTTATGCTACTGAACAATCACCTAGCATGAGATGGCGACTACGGCAAATGAACTACGAAGTATTGGAAATTGATGATTGGATGTCAAGAACTTATGATGTCATCAGTTGTTTGAACTTACTAGACAGATGTGACAAACCTTTAACTTTGCTTGAAAACATTCGACAATCATTGAATGAAAACAGAGGTCGATTAATAGTTGCTGTAGTATTGCCATTCAAGCCTTGTGTTGAATCAGGTAATTCATGCTAAATAGACAAATTACTTATGATGAATTTGAAGCCGGTGGTCTTACAGAGAAATTGTATTTTTATATCTCCCAGGCACAAAAATTATCAAACCCAGTGAAAGAATTCCTGTGAAAGGGAAGCACTGGGAAGAGCAGTTGCAAAGTTTTATATATGATGTCTTTATTCCTGCTGGATTCATTGTTGAAGCTGTCTCAAGACTTCCATATCTATGTGAGGGTGATATGCACAAAGATTTTTATGTTTTGAGCGATGCTATATTTGTGTTAAGACCACATTTGTAGATAAGGATGAAATATGAACAGTGTGCGAATTAGTTCAGAAAAAACGATGTGCAATTTTTTTGACAAAAGTGTTTCTTTAAAGGCATAATCAAATCGATATTACGTTAATTATTATATAGCGCTAATTGCTAAATTAATATTTTTAAACGTGAACAAATTCATATGATTTACGACAGTGTTTTTCGTTAAAACCGCTGATTTTTGCACATTGTTTGAAAAAGTGATTTGCAATTGTTTTCATTTCAGCTAAAACAATGTGCAAATTGCACATTGTTAATTCGCACACTGATGAATAAAACGATAAAAATATAGGCTCTAAAGTTTGACTATCGTGTAAGAATGTCTTTGGTTGCCATTACTTGTTGTTGCTTGTGTACAGTAGTGGTACTCACCTTGTTTTATAAATATTTTTTCATCATTTTACATTCTTTTTCTGAACGCAGACCAAATAAATTGAGTTGAATTATAGAATAATACCAATGACTAAAATGGCAATATCTGTTGCTTTTATTTATCATCTTCATCATCAGAACTATTATCTTCAGTTTCTTTTTTACTTGGCAATTTCTTGACAAAAAGAACCTTATCTGTTTGAATGATTTGAATGAAAAGCTGCAAAACAGAATAAATTAAATCATAATTCGCCATTGTCGGCTCCAAAACTCCTTTCTTAACAATTGGAATGAAATTTCCACTTCTATCGATGCCTAACAATGGATGACCTTTTATTAGACATTGTCTTGTTTGAGCTTTCAAATGAAACATGTTGAGTTTACAAGAAGAATTTCTGATAAGTTCTCTTGGAATGGCGAGTAGTGATTTCTCTAGTATTTCAATGGCCAAATTCAAACTTGTATTGCTTGAATATTTTTTCCTGTACTGTTCAAGGACGTGAGAAAATGCGAGTTCAAATGCTCCACCTCCTGGAACATAAGACATAAAGCACTGACATCCCGAGGATGTTTGTTTTATACAGCTTTGGAGGCTTCTTAGCATGCTTTTTAATGCCATTGAGTACTGATGACAAAATGACTCATTAGGTGCAAAAAGAATAATTTGCTTGGTGTGAATCTCCTCAGACATCAATTGCACATAGGTATGCAGTCCAACTTGCATTGATTTACATGAAGTAGCCATAGCAATATGCATTGGTAAATCATTCATGTCAAATATTGGGCTCAGATTAAATACTTGGGAAATTTTGGCAATGTCCTCCTCAGGAATCAAGTGAATGGCAGCAATTGAATTCTGATTGCAAGCATTGACAAATGTTTCTCCTAACTTTTTCGAAGTTAATACTAGTTGTATGTTATGTGAAACAAACACTCGAATTATATTGAGCACAAATTCTTGTTTCCAAAGAAGAATTTTCTCAATTTGATTTCTTTCTTGCACTGAAAATATCGTATTTCCTAAGGTATCCTCATAATCTATGGCACATTCATATATAACAAACTTAAAAAACTTCTCATCTTTTGGTTTTGGTAAAATTTTTACCATAGTAAGAAATTGTCTTGGTAAAAGCACTCCTTGTAAAATTGTAGAACAAGTGAATGGCTTCCCAGGAACCTCCCACACAGCTTCATTAAAGTTATCAAGAACATCTGATATTCTGACTTGTATAAGTTTGAAGCTTTGTAAAGCATTTTCTTCAAATAATAATTGACTTAAAATGTCAACAAGGATTGTACATATATTCGGATTAAATTTTCCATCAATAGTTGTGCGTAGGATAGCCTTCATGAACCAATTAATATTACTTCCATCTTCAAAACAGTGAGCTATAACTCCTGAATCTTTCAAGTCATTGAAAACTCCAGGCAATACAGACAAAGCCAAATACTTCATGCCATGAGAAATAGTGAGTGTTTGTTTAATTGAAGCAACATCTTTTACAGCTTCTATACTCGCAACTTCAGAAAGCATTTCTTTGAGCAATAACATGAACTTTTTGCTGAAATTTCCCGATTTTACCATGCCATTGTAGCACAGTTTCCCAAAAACATTTCCAAAAGATAAAGATTTGATGATCGCATGTCCGTCATTTGTCATTAACATTTTTCCAGACGTTGTTGAAACTAAACAGTCTAATCCATTTGGACCAAACGACGCTTTCACAACTTGTACTGTCCGATCTAAGAATTCTAAAACATTTTGCACAAATTTCAAATTATCTGCCATTATGCTTTTCAACACAAAGAGTTGTGCACTTGATTCCATTAACCAGCTAGATATTATCTCCGAACGCCGACAAAATTACGACGAGAGTTCTTCGTTTGATGAATCTGTTTGATGGAAGAAAAAAATTTGGAAACATAAACAATGAAAATCATAACATGAGTTCAAGGATCCAGTGATTTGTATTCAAGACGATGATAAAGTGAAAATAATGAAGTCTCGCTCTACAAAAGTATTGGAAACTAAACAAACCATTATTTGATGTACGATTTAATTTTTTGTTTGTCTGCGGCATCAGCCACGACATAAAGACACTTAAATTTCACACGGTGAGTATATTTTTTATTTTTGTATTTGCTGTATAGAAATTGATGATTAAAATTTCCCAATGATTCCCTGCTTAACAGTTTTTCTCGGGATAACGTGACTTTCTTGCCAGCACTTTCGTACGCTGCCGCATATGGAGATTTTAAAATTGTTGTATTCGGCGACGACAGTCAATTAAGTATGATATTATCGTGACCTGTCTTATGTTTCAACTGTTAATGAATTTTCCGTTTTAGTTTTTATAAAGCTTAAATATCAGCTGTCAATGAAAAATTTCTCATGAAATTGCAAAGTGTTATGGAGACCCTATCCAAGGATGAACTTCTTGAACAAAGTTCTTTAGCAGTTGAACAGGTATATATAATATTGTTTCTTTGACTCTGAGATATTATTAAGTATAGTGATGTGGAGTTGTTTTAGATAAACACGGTTGTAGAAAGAATGAAAAAAATTGTAGTGTGCTCAGGTTATGACCTAGACACCTATGTTTTAATAGATTCAAAAGAAGTTTGCCCAAGGAGAAAATGTCATCAAAGATTGTCAAGAAACTGTTTTTCTGTGTCAATGTGTTGATAATATATTACACCACGGACTAAAAGATGGGTAGAGTAAATTATAAACTCTCTAAAGAAACATCCATCAAATAAAAGATTTACATTCATATCTAAAAATAATTTTTCTTCATGGTTTTCAGGTTGATATCTAGGGCTATGGAGTTTACCATTTGGTCAATGTTGGAAAAAATTACCTGTAGTGAAGATCTGCACGAATTAAAAATGTAAAATGGCATAAATATGGTAGCAATGAAATCAAATATCATTTTAAGATCATATATTTGTTTCAGCTTACATCTTAAAACTGACAGAGACAAGTGTTATGCTTGGATAAGAATGGCTGTGAATCAAAACTTATTGGGAAGCTACATAGCCACTGTAAGGCAAGACAAATCTTTGCTAAGGTAATCCAGCGCATTTATAGCAATGTAAAGATGAGAGTGGATTAAATGCAGATAGATTTATTTGTTAATGTTTTCGGTTTTTACAAGTAATCATTATCATGAACATGCATTTTACGAGATCCAATCATGGCAGATACTGTCCAATCCATTCTCAATAATGGAATCACAAACTTCGACTTTGACATGTATGTTATAAATTGATATAAGTTCTATTAGTTGCATGTATCCATTAGTAAATAGTCACGAAGACTTTTTGGTTCTTTTGTAGATCTGTCCGTCCACAGACTTTGTTTGAGCACAACAACATTCAGAACTTGATAACCAGTAAGCTTGGCCATTTTCTTTGAATTTTTTTGAACTTACAAAGCAAATCCGCTATTGGGTTGTTTTTTTGTATACTAGAGCCTCAAACCATTCATGGCTCTTTTCAATATGACATTGGTAAGACTAGAGAAAATGGCTATGACGGTGAAGAAAGTCTTCAACGTACTGCGCATATTGTGCAGAAGAAAAAGAAACAGCGAAGGAAAAAGCTTCAAGTTAAAACAGTTGTGATTGAAGAACAGGAGCATTATGATGATACTGAACTGCCTGAAACTCTCAGAAACATGAATGTCTCTCTTGATCCTTGTGATGAACACGGAGAAGCGGGAAAAATGACGTCACTTGCTGACAAAGGTTTTGCTACACAGTGCGTAGAGAACTCAGAAACTCAAACTTTGCTTTTAAAAAATACATCATCTAATGAAATTACTGATCATAATGGTGTTGATAATACACAAGTCTGTGATCAAACAAAGGGTTTTATAGGAAAGGACATTGTACAAAGTACTCTTGGTAATAGTGAAAATTACAAGGAGCCAGAGTTATCTGAAAGAATTGAAGCAGCAGTTTCAATAAGTTCCAAGAAAATGTTTGACGCGAACGACTTTCTTTTGGAAGAGTCCGTTGACGAGAACAGTTTTGTTCAAAACAAGTATAATGTTAACGATTGTCATTTTGAAGATGATGCGAGGACTAAAAACGAATCTACTGATGACAAAAGTTACGAGGCTCACATGACTCATTCAACAGCAGAAACTAAAACACGCACAAATGATGATGAAAGGACGGAGGAATTTGAACATAAGGGGGGAAAAGATACGGTAGTAGATGTTGAAGGAAAAACATTTAACTCAAAGAACAAAGATACGACTGATGAATGTGAAAAAAGTTCTTTTGAAACTCCTAAATCCATTCATCGAAGTTCTTCTTCAGAGACGAATAACGTCACAGAAGTTTCAAGAAGTGCGAGCTTTTACGACTATCGAGTTCGTAAAGTAGAGAATCCGGAATTAGTGTCTTCATCGTACGGTTCATCGTTTAGCGATTACACAGATGATGATAAAGACTTAAATTTCATTCCCGGCATTCATAGGATGTCCACGAAATCTATTGCGTCATCATTGGAACGAAAGAGCAGTGGGGAAAGCGCGGTGTCATTTGACAAAAATGGTTTTCCGGTGTTTGAATCGTCTCATTTCACAAACTCTGCAAGTTTACAACGTTCAAGTAATGAAGAAAGTACAAACAAGCAAATTGTAGACGAATCGGATATGTTTGAAGATTTGTTGAATGTCGAGGAAGAGCATTTCTCAAATCCAGATGTATGTCGTTCTAATTTTTCTATCAGTTTTTTGATTTTTAGCTGAAAAATAATATGTTTCATGTCTAGCATTGACACTAACATGTCTTTACACTTAATGTAAAAGTTTTCTTGGAAAAGAGTTTCGATTCTCATAATTCAATTATGGTTACTCCTCGGTGTTTGTGCTAATAATTTACAAAACTTACTGTATTGTTGCAGAATTTTGCCGGTCTTACTGCGAGTGAAGAATTGGAGATTGCCATTGAACATTACAAGAAAATGATCATGAAGAGACAAGAAAAATCTTTGCCAAAAGATGATCTCGTTGATAAGTTGGTCAAGCTTCGTCTGCGCCTACAACAAGAGAAAGTAAGAGAAAGTTTCTGCGTTGCAACATTCTTTGATTTCACCAACATATATTCATTTTACCTAAATTAGGATACTCCTCCTGTGGATGATACAAAGTTCCATAAGATTCTCGGTCATCACTTTAGGAAGCAGGAAGGTTTGTCCGGTGTGAAATACTTCTGTGATCAATGCGGCAAAAATATCTGGACCGTATGGCAGCCTCTCTTCACCTGCAAAGGTTTAAAAAATACTTTTTCAACATTTAATGAAACTTTAACATTATTCAATAAAGCAAATGAATTTCGTTGCAGATTGTGGATATCATTGCCATCGCAAGTGTCTTGATCAAATTCAAAGATCTTGTGTCAATAAAACGTACTCAAATTTTTGTCTATCATAAATTTTTTTTTTTGGCCCAAAACAGTAGGAACTAAAAAGGGATCCACATTGTTCGTGAAAACGTCTGTTCTTGACATTGTTTGTCCTTATAAACTTCTAAAACTGTCTAAGAATGATTACTGGATTGTCTTTTGTTTTATTTTTCTGGGCCTTATATAGATTACAAAAATAAGTTATAAAGCATTTTGTTATCTTCTATCGAGCAATTGAAGCGATATTACCTTATCTCTTGATCTTTTTCCTATAGCTGTCAACGGCGTCGTACATTTTTGAAATCTGTCCAGACGGCGGTCTCGATGGTCAGCAGTATAAATGCGCAGAATGTCGACGTCCAATAGCTTTTTCGAGTAGGTCGTTGCTTATTTAGTAAAAACTACTTGCGCATTTGTCATTTCGTAGAATTTTAATTTTGTAGAAAAAGATTCCGTTGCAAGAATATGCGATTACACTGGTCAATATTTTTGCGATAGTTGTCATTGGAATGATCATACTATCATTCCTGCAAGGGTTTTACGAAACTGGGATTTCACTCCACGTAAGGTGTGAATAATACATTTTTATAGTAAAGATGAATTGTCATCATATACTGACGTCACGAGGCATTTAACGTCATCAAGACATATATCATAGAAAAGAAAGTATGTTTCTAGGTGTGTCTTTGTTTCTAGGTGTGTCTTTGTTTCTAGGTGTGTCGTAGCACGAAACAATTGTTGGAGCTTATGAAAACCAAACCGATGGTGAATATTCAAGAGATAAACCCTCAGTTATTTAGATATGTCGAGGAACTACGGGAGATTGGGGTGAGTTACTGCTTATGACGTAAGGGAGAATGAACCAGGTCTTTTAGTGATGCTTGATTCGCCTGAAGTTAAAAATAAATGAAATTCTTTTCTTGTTATCCTAAACTTTTCAAGGAGTTCTTGGGATGACGTTAATAGGAAGGCGTTAATATCATCTTTACTAGCTTAGTTTGAACGAATAAAAACAAAGCTAAGACAAAATATACGGTTTCTAATCCCAATCAACAACTTACTATAATGCAGCAATACGTGTGGGCGTCTATTAGAGACGGGGCGTTTGTAGAGTGAGGCATCTCATACAAACTCGTGCTCCTGTGATATGAAATGTGTTTATTTGCGGGGTAGAATATACTGATTTTACGTAAAGCAAGCCTATAACAGATGAAATTAATTATAGAAACTTCGTGAAGATATTCTTATAATGAAGAAATATTTTCTCACCTGTCGCGAGGCACTAGAAAGCAAACTTCTCATTCAGGTAAGCTTTCGGCTACGAACTTCTGAAATTAAAGCATGGAGGGTATATATACATCTCACGGGATTCATTGTTTTTCTCACAGTTAAAAAAGCGTCAACATTTCGTCGACAATGCAGACATGTACTCATTTCAAGACTTGATTGATCTAAATAATGACATTCTCCTGCCCGAAATCTCCAAAATTCACGCCATTTTTCTGGCGCACATTAAAGCTGATTGCGATCTTTGTCGAGCCAGAGGTTTTATATGTGAACTATGTCAAGATTCCAGTGATGTTATCTTTGCTTTTGATCCTCATGCTGTCAAGTGTTTCAAGTGTTCAGCGGTATACCATAAGTACGTACATTTAATGACTTATCTATTCACCCTTGTCTTCTGTTAAATGTTCCAAGTGTTCAGCGGTATACCGTAAGTACGTACATTTAATGACTTATCTATTCACCCTTGTCTTCTGTTAAATGTTTCAAGTGTTCAGCGGTATACCGTAAGTACGTACATTTAATGACTTATCTATTCACCCTTGTCTTCTGTTAAATTTTTCAAGTGTTCAGCGGTATACCGTAAGTACGTACATTTAATGATTTATCTATTCACCCTTGTCTTCTGTTAAATGTTCCAAGTGTTCAGCGGTATACCGTAAGTACGTACATTTAATGATTTATCTATTCACCCTTGTCTTCATTAAACTGATAATTGTAAGCCATTAGGCACGCGTCGAGCTATGTTCAGAAACTCTTAAAACTCCACCTGATTTTTCTTTTTAAGGATGTGCTTCAGAACAGAAGACTGCCCCAAATGCCGTCGCAGGAAGAAGATCACAGAACAAATGTAGTTAGGGGGAATTTCGCACCGAGAAATAACCTTAAAAGCTAAATTTGATCGATTTAGTTTTCAAAAGTGGGAAAAATTTTGAAAATAAGTTATTTTATGATTTCAAGGCACGTGGTTTTAAATTTTGCACATACGGAAAACGTCAGCTGTGTTAAACATTCAACTCACCCCTTAAACTCCCATCAACTTTCATTCATATTATCTTGATCATCAACTCAAAGGAAATGTCAAAACTGCGATAAATTATAAATCGGTGTACTTTGCTTTTTTGAGCACATAAATAAAATAGCTATGGAATACACGAAGAAATGTTTTATTGCATTAATAACTTTTTATTATTGTTTATTATTTTTTTGCCTGAACCTTAATGGCACCTTCATCCTGATGTACTGTTGCTCCACAATGGCGATAAAATCTCTCTTTACCAGTCCTACGCGGACATGCTGACGTGATTGTACCTCCAGTGGTGGCCGGTTTCCATACATAGAAGATGAAAGTAAAGGAACGGCTCTTTCTTCTTCCTCTGCTTGCACATCAAGACCCCGTGTGTTCCCTGTCATCCCTGTGTATCCTACTGCAGTAACCGTGCTCAATGTGGAACATTCTATCGTATGTTGATTTGTTATTGTTCTAAGATTAAGTTACGGATTGTTTATTAACGAGTTGATGAAAGCAACTTTAGAACGAGACTCACCTTTTTCTTGCGGTTGAAGTATGTTAAATTGTTGGAAAAATTGAGAGCGTTTGATCGATCCACTGGAACATAAATTTCGCTGCAAGCATTTTTCGCCAAAGAGAATTCTTTCTGTAAACGATAGAATTGATCAGGACGAAACACGCTTAAGATCAAATATAAAATGTTCATAGAATTATTTACTTTAATACACTCCCTCCACTGTTCTTTAATTTCCTCAGGACTATATTCCTGCATTCCATAGCATGATCTGGTCATACCTTTTTCAGCGTACATTTTCTACTAAAATCTCTACATACGATACACTTTAGCCAATGACGAGAGCGCGTGCGATTCCCACTTGAATGACGTCATATAATTGTAAACCTGTTTTACTAGTTTACAAAACTTCGAGTTCCAATATATTACTAAATTTCACAAAATAACTTAGATATGTATATAGCTACAAATTACGTGAATATAAAAGGGTAAAAATATAACGTATTTGCTAAGAAATATTTTCAATATCTAAATCACTGTCATCGAAATCACTATAATTATTACCACTAAACTTAACACCTTTCTTAGGTACGTTATCAAATGCAACATTGCCACCGAGTCGACCACCTAAAACATTCGTAGAAATTATATGAATTAAAAACAAACTATAGAATGCTTTCTTTTTGCATTTTGTCATTAATAAGTACAACAAACATTTTCTAATGATCGTGCTGTTGTTGAAATATCGAACAACGTTCCCAAGATATTTCGTAAGTAAAGTAAATGGTTTGAACCTGGGAGTATCGTTATATGTTTGTAAATGATGATCGTCCAGGTTAATAAAGTCCATCACAACTAAAAATAAAATATTTCACTTCACACTAATCCACAATGACAATACACATTTCCTGCACATTTCCTGTACACACAATACAATGACGTAAGAACCAGACAACAAATACGGCTAACCTGACGTTTACTCCTCATTTGACTCTGAAGATGACTACCGCTAAGGTTGTCGAAACGTCAGTCAACAACAACAAAAACAGTCCTTCTCAGGACTTTATTAACCTGGACGATCATCATTTACAAACATATATTTCGTAAGTGTTCAGGAGTCGAGTAAAGTACGAAACAGGGTCGTAGCTAGAAAGCTAATTGTGGGAAGGGGAAGGTGTATATCCATATATTCAGTTGTGCCCGACTGAATTCTTTTCAAAGTGATTTGGCTTTTATTCAGGCACGCTTATATAAAATGTTTATTTCATAATTTGGTTCCAATGGGTTTCATGATATATTTTACGTGTAATATGAATTACCTAAATGCTTATTGTCTCTTAATTAAATTAAATATCGACGACAACTTTTTACTCACCGTTAGATTGTAAGGGTTTCTTCGTAAGTCTAAAATCAAAATGTTGAAAGTGTGAATATCATTAGTGTATACAGTAACAGCTTAAAATCTTTATATTTATTTTTAATAAGGGAAAATTGCACCCGTCAAGACTAGTATGCACTGGACTACCACTGGAGACCAGTGGAAAGCTATACATAAGGGTTTTAAGTCACGTGATTTAGTTTACTGTCGTAAGCCGCGCATGAAAAGCTCGTGACTAGTTGAATCACTGGCTTTAATTTTGACTGGAAGAAGCCTTGCAGTTATACTAATTTCAATGCTGCTATATGATGGAGTAAATGAGTAAGGCAGTATTGAACATACCCTGTCTGTTTTTTATTGCTGTCGGGCTCGGGAGAACTGGATAAAAAATCGCTCTCGTCCTCGAAGTTCTAAAATTCAAAATTGAAAGTTAAATAAAGAACAATTATTTCTCTTTATATAACTCACAAAAAATTACAACAACAAGCATGAAACTTACATTTACATTGGACGAGGGTAAAACAGCGGAGTTTGGGGTCGAATGAATAAGTGCCACAGCACCTGCAGGTTTTTTAATTTTCGATGATCTCTTTAAGCTTCTCTCTAAACTGGATGCAAGTTCTTGCACCTAACAACGATGAAACCCACAAAACATGAAAGTGGCAACAAAAGTTAAAAATTGTCACTTCGCGTCCATTTTTTATACCTGAGATGTTTGTGATGGTATATGAACAGAAACCTTCGGAACCATTTTCCGACCATGGGCATCCTCCTCACTTTTACAAAATAAAACACGCACACAGGTAATGATGTAGGAGCAAATAACCTAAACAACAATACACGCTTCATACCTCAAGGCTGAGTCCCAATCGACATCTTCATCAGATCCTTCATCGGTTAACTCGTGCTGCATGTTATCTACTTCGTGTTGTCTGCTTTCCTCTGACACGCTTTCAGAAGGTTCAGTCACCGAGGTCGTAGTGAATGACATATCTGCTTTCGGTGAAGTGGGTTCGGTATAACTGCTACGTCTTTCGTGACAAAGAAACGGACACATATACACACTTATACACACATATACACACTTATACACACTTATACACACTTATACACACATATACACACATATACACACTACACACAAGCGATTATTTTGTGCGTTCACAAGAGTCCGACTGAACTTACCTTTTCAGCGCGAGCTCAGCAGAATTAATATCCAAGCCTGCTTTAGGAGATGCAAAACCTCTGACAGCATTGATGGCACTTGCTGTAGATTTTAACGAGGGCTTCAAAGTAGGAGAGCGCCGTATGAATGAACCTATAAAACAGAATTTGTCAGTAAACAATCTAAATTAGAAAAAGAGATTAAGCGATGATTGTCACCAATACCTTCAGGTTGATCTTCAGACTTTGCCAACTTTTTTATATTTGATGTTTTCCTCGCCAAGTTATCAACTTCTTCAGCTTTTCGCTTTCGAATTTCCTTGAAATTTCTAAATTTCTAAAAAACAGCAATTGACATAGTTGAAATTACAAATATGTATCCACCAATCTTTTACTCAATAATATTGTACTTCTTTTGATAAGGAGAAAGTTTTAGTTCGAAAAACGAGAAAGATGTAATAATCACAATAAACTGTGGCGACTTCACTTAATTGGTTTCACAAATGATTTCACATTTATAAAATGTTCATTCACATAGAGCTAGCTTAATGAGATGGCCTTAACCTGTTGTCATCTTAAAGATATAATTTGCACTGATTATAGCGTGTCCCCTAACGTAATACCTTGGCATGGCCTTCCTGTTCTGATCTTAAGGACTTCATTCTAGACTCGAGCTGTTTGCTTGACAACCGCGTAGTCTCAGGTTCAATTCCTCTCTTGCCTAAACCCTGTTCGAACTCCTCTTTTACTTCATCCTTGCATTGTTCCAAAGTCTTTGCTTTGTGGTTATATTGTGCTATGTGGAAAATGTGGAAAAATAATCGCACGTTAATCAACGCAGCTAAACTAAATCCTGCAATATTAGAGACTGTACGAATCCGATCTCTTCGGATTATTATAGGTTATATTTATACAACACAAAACTGAAACGAATCGTTGATAAATTAAATCGTAATCTTCAATGAGTGTCTTACTTATGATTGTTGGAAATCTCTCAAAGGTGTAAATGTTCCTGTCTCTAAGGTTGTTCCCTAAAAATATCAAGGGAATATCTTTACATTTTAGCCAATTCAAAACCACAGGATAAAACTATTTAATGATGTTCGATATAAGGAAACGCACCAATTCCTCTTCAGATTGATCATCCTCACTCCTGTATGAAAAATATGAAAATAAAACATTTGGTGAACAAATTTACAGAGCTGTACGATTCTTTCAGTCCTTTCTTCAGCACCGAAACTTCACACACAAAAGAACAAATAGTTTTGGTTTTATTTTTCCGTTCAACTTGCGCAAAGTACATACTCTGATTCAAGAGATAAATTTTCTGGAACCTCACCTCTCCACTATATTAACTAACATCAACAACAACGGAGTACATACTCTGATTCAAGAGATAAATTTTCTGGAACAGCACATCTCCACTATATTAACTAACATCAACAACAACGGAGTACATACTCTGATTCAAGAGATAAAATTTCTGGAACCTCACCTCTCCACTATATTAACTAACATCAACAACAACGGAGTACATACTCTGATTCAAGAGATAAATTTTCTGGAACCGCACATCTCCATTATATTAACTAACATCAACAACAACGGAGTACATACTCTGATTCAAGAGATAAAATTTCTGGAACCTCACATCTCCACTATATTAATTAACATCAACAACAACGGGTACATACTCTGATTCAAGAGATAAAATTTCTGGAACCGCACATCTCCACTATATTAACTAACATCAACAACAACGGAGTACATACTCTGATTCAAGAGATAAAATTTCTGGAACCTCACCTCTCCACTATATTAACTAACATCAAAAACAACGGAGTACATACTCTGATTCAAGAGACTCTTCAGGTTGCTCAGCTTTTGAAGGAGGAGGAGGAGGAAGGGGCCTTGGCGTTGGCTTTTGTACTTCTTCTACTTTAGTACGATTCCTAAGTTAGTAAATACGATGTTGATAAATTACTAATGATCAAACCAAAATATTTCTCGTTTTACCACCCCCCCTCCCCTTCAACAATCAAACAATCATCTCTCACCAACTCACACAATAAAAAGCTTACATTTCAATGGCTTCAGCAAGATTTTTCTTCGCACTCTCAGTGGCAGTGTTTAAACTAGACACAGATAACTCGTCTGTGTAAAATAATGACACATACATACAAGAACAAAAATCTACATCGAAGATTGATAAAGTGGAAATTGTGGTCAAATATTTTATATTTTAGTTCGATAAAGCTACAAGACTGAAGATTACTGAAGTTACCTGAATCAGACGGTTCATCAACACCTTCAGTTCCTGTATCAGATACTAAAGTTCCAGATCTACTCAAGGCTGACAAATTAAAAGACAACAATACAATTTTCAATCTTGCACTGAAAAATGACAGCATTAAACTCACGTCTTGTTGGGGAGCCAGCTGGGGTTGTTTTAAGCGCATAAAATTTAATTCCAGTGTTTCGCCATCCAGATAACGTTTCAGTCTTCGCTATAGAGGACTTGATCACATTGGCGCTTCCTTTCTCCAACAAATAGCAGGCGATACTTCCAGCCAGCGGTATTGAAGATACGTAGAACAAGTAATCAGTGCGATATTCATTACTAGGAGGAGATGACTTGGTTGAGATATACTGCCTCCAATAGGGCGAGCCACCAGCCGAGTATACATAGATAGGATAGTTGAATGGTGGGTAAGGCTCTCGACTGGCCTGGAACGAGAACTGATCTGACCAATCACGTGACGATGCCGAGGCTTCCCGACGAAGTTGATAGTCGGTACCATTGAATGCAACATACAACGTCATGAGATCATCTAAAAAGATCATTTATAAAACATCTCAATGCAAGGCGATTACTAGTGGTGCTAGATTTCATAAACTTGCACAAATGATCTGACTTTTTTTGGCTGATATGAACAACTTTATGCTGATTTAACAATTGCGAACAAGACAGTTGACGATGACGTGCAAGTAAAATCTGAACGTCACTGCTACTGCATAAAGATCGACGTATAAAGCGTTTAACTAATGGATGTTTTCGATATTCCAACGTCTCTTGAGAGTGAATATTTTTTACCGCTGTATAGTTTGTTTATACTTTCTTTGCAATAAAAACACCGCATGTTAATGAGTAATCCACAAGAAGTGGGGGAAAAAACAAACTTTATTCGATCGGTCCATGTATTAAATTATACACATTACTAACTCTCGTCGCTCTCCGCCAGTTGTGATGATTGTTCAACATGTTCACGGGTTAACGCACCTACAAAATAATGAATGAAACTGTGCAAATGAAGGAAAGAAACAGTACAAAGTACTAACAAGACAAACCATACCAATTTCATGAGCAGGGCTGGGTGGTTGAGGCGGTTTACCCTGTACAGGAAATAATGAACAAGACATTTGTGATTCAAGATGACGGTGATCAACTTTACTGATACAAACACTTAGGTCTTGTCAGCAATTACGTAGCAGGCACGTTAATCAGATCAAATCTTTATGTCATGAAATATTGGAGGAGGGGGAGGGGTGACATGGACGTAAGAAGATCGATAATTGGAGGGGGGGGGGGCTCGTGTTCATTTATGAATGTTATAATCCGTGTGCAAAACAAGAGATTTTAAGGCAACTTAACACGGCAAATCGTGTAGATATAAATATGAGCCACTGGCAGTTATTAATCTTCTTACGCCAACGGGGAGAAAGATTGTGTTGCTAAGTTACCCGTGGAAAGTGCTTGACTCTTTCTCGCTCAATAATCTTCTAAAAAAATATAAAAAAGAAAGAAACTACAATTGATGAAATAAGGTATGATTGTCATACGTTCAAAGGCTTTATTACGCTATCGCTATAGCACTCTCAATACCACGCATGGTGAAAATGTTCAGAACTAAGAGAAATAGATTTTTTTCCCTACCTACATACTCTATACTTTATAATGATCATCAAGTAAGAAGTATTACTATATGGCAAGTGTCACTTCCGGCTAAATGGCGCGCTTTGATTGGCTCAGAAGCATTTTTGCCTGTCCATTATTTTCCCGTAATCGACCACAGTCCGAAAAGCGTAATTTTATAGTCAAAGGCAATCGCCCTACGATCTCGGTCTGTACAAAAAAAAACTACGGTCCGATATTTCTTTGTAAAGACCTCAAGCTCGGCTTAAATACTGACCTGATTAAGTTCATTCACTTTCTGTTCAAAACTTATCACCATTTTTTCTTTCTCAGCCCTTTCAGCTTCAAGTGCGTCGTTGAATTTCTTCAAAATGGATTCGTACTACATTGAAATAAACGATAATTAATCAATAAATGAAATAAAAAAAAACAAACTAAAGTCTCAACTTATGTCCCAAAGAAATTCAATCAAACTATAACAACTAATCTGGATCATACCGTAGTGCGCATGCTCATTACATAACCAAATCTTACTTTGTCTTTTTCAGCTTCGTTATCTTTCTTCATCTTCAATTCCCGTTTTTTGTATTTATCCATTAATTTTTTTATATTTTCCTCCGCATGTGTATGAATTGAAGTCACCTACACATGAAAATTATTGATTGCTAATTTATTATTAATTATACTTACTCTTGCTTTAACAATTGTCTTAGTTTGTGGTCACCACAAGCGTAAGAAAACGGCACCTTATATTTATATTCACTTATTTCTGATGTATGTTAGCTTTGCGCAGTGGCAGGATCATAGCCGATGAGGTTCATCCGAGGCGTTATTGCTGATTGAAAACTTATACCAATACCCGCTGGACGGCCTGAAATATGGCCGGCTATGCAATTTTCATGGTCCTTAACTGGACCGATAATACTCGAAATAAAACATAAATGCACGAGCAGTAACTCGTTTAATATTTCAAAGATGACTAAAATCAGTGTGTAAAAATATCCATGATAAAGGGACAGTCAAATGTAAAGACAACTTTCCCAATAACCTAGGTCAATATTTAAAGTATGTTCGCGAGTTGAGGCAGATCCGACCACTCGTATCGCAGTAATTGCTGACCTAACTCGGATTAACTCGCAGTAACTCCGGATTCTAGAAATGAACGGCGCATTAAGGGCTTATATTTAATTATAAATATTACTATTTTAA